ATAAGTTGTACAAGGACAATTCAATGGACACAAGGGAGGCCATTTTTATCTTTTGAACTTAGATATTTTTAGTATGCTAAACCCTCATACTGATCTCCATCAAGCCTTCTTTGAACATGAAACAATATTGGGGACAGTTAGCTCTTGCCAAATTAATACAACTAATTATGTTCTCATTTATCTATGTGCATAATTTATGTTCTGGTAATAATTCTGGGCTTAATGTTTAAAGAATTGGAAACCTAGAATGTGTTCATTTAAATTCAATTGATTTTTTTAAAGTATAATGAGGACAGAGATGTTATGAAGACAAATAAATATGAGGCACAAAATACAATCCACCTGAATGTTTAACTCCTCTGTGACCATCATAGAATAAGGTTCTTGATTTCATATACTAAGGTTATGAAGAACAATGTAAAATGCAAGGTAATTAAATTAAAACCTAATAGAAAACCAAATTTTTCAACTATAATTTTCAAATATAGCACACTCTACTAGCATCAAATATTATGCATGCTCTTAACAGCAGATGACATATTCATATCATTTACCTTATTGTCATGTATCATTGCTAGAGGTAAACAGTGTGGTAGAATTTCTTTCTAGTGTCAATTTCTGTTCATAGAATTGGCTATTTGAGATATGCAGTATTATCATAATTATAATTTCACAAGTAATAAACAAGACCTGATACAATAAAAAAAGATTTATAAACAGAGGAAGCTACACAAAGAGCATACAGTTTCTATAAAAGAAAGATGTATTATCTTATTATCATTTTTATCAAATCCATTAGGTGGGAAGCATTTAATCCAAGAATCTTCTTGAGAACTCATCCTTTATCTCAGGGACATCTAAGAACATATGAAAATCTTTTACCTGTGGAACCTAGAGAAACTTTTATACCCAGTTCTATACTGATTTAGTGTACAGTGAGACACAATGCACGTTTCCATATTTTCTGATACAGTCCAGAACTTTCTCTAAAAAGTTCGAATATATTGGGGCACCTGGGTGGCTCAGTTGATTAAGCGTCCGACTTTGGCTCAGGTCATGATCTCAGGGCTCATGAGTTCAAGCTCCATGTTGGACTCTGTGCTGACAGTTCTGATCCTGGAAATTGCTTCAGATTCTGCGTCTCCCTCTCTGTCTGCCTCTCCCTCACCCATACACTACTCTCTCTCTGTCTCTCCCAAAAATAAATAAATATTAAGAAAATTTTAAGTATGTTTGAATATAAAAGGAAATAGCTAATCAGCAAAAGCAAATGTGAAAAGTTTATATCACCTCTGAAAAGGACAATCTTACTCTACAATCAATAACTAACCAAACGCATTGAAAGTATGTGCCTTACATAGTGACCAACACAAAACACATACAACTTTGGAATGTTCACACCAAAAAAGAAATTTATAGTAACATATGACTTCACAGATTCATAATTAAAGGTGCATTCACTCCCTGTAGCCTCTGCCTTTTCCTAGTAATAAGACATTGCCCAAGACTATCCTTGTCATAGATGATAAGTAATAATAGCGTATGGAATGATTAAATATCAAATTAATATTTCTTTCCTTCTTATTTTCATTGTGGAACATGCCATTTTATTTGGGTGTTACCTTTAATTATACTACAAGGAAATTGGATGACTCCAAATTATACAGAGACTTGCAGTTTGGAGTTTGTCATGCAGTAAGTGTTCTTTTGTGTCTAACTTCTTTTGCTCAAAAAGGTGTTTTTTGTTTCTTTGTTTTCATAATTAATCCATCTTGTTGCAGATATCAGTATGTGTACCACGTATTGCTGTGTAGTGTTCCACTATATGAATATGTGAATTTATCACCATTTGACATTTGGGCATTTCCGATCTTTGCTTATTATAAATAAAGCTATATTTTATGTAAGATTATTTATGAAAATATACATGAATTTCTAATATGGAAATATATAGGAATGGGTTTGCAGAAAATATGGTCGATATATTTTTAATTTTATGAGAAAATGTTTCACATCTTTCTGACATGTTTAAACTACTTTACGCTCCCATCAGAAATGTATGAGTTTCAGAGCCCTGGGTGACTCGGTCAGTTAAGATTCAATTTCAGCTCAGGTCATGATCTCACAGTTTGTGGGTTCAAACCACATGCTGGCAGCACAGAGCCTGGTTGAGATTCTTTCCCTATCCCTCTCTCTCTGCACCTCCCCCGCTCATGCTCGCATATTCTCTCTCTCACACAAATAAAGAAATATTCAAAAAACTTATAAGAAATGCATGAGTTTCAGTTACTCTACAAAGTTGTCATATTTAGTATTGTTAATGTTCTTATTTTTCCTATTCTAGGAATTCATATTACAATGTATTGTAATTAAATTTTTGTTATGTTATTATCATTGAGTACATTTTCATGTGTGTTTTGACCATTAATATATCTTCCTTGGTGAATTGCCTTTTTAGATCTTTTGGACAATTTATAATTTTGTGTGTGTTTGTATCATTGACTCTTATAGGTAATTTTATAGATATTTTTACAGGTTAAGTACATGACACATTTGTGATATACAAGTAATAAGGGTATTTTGTCTTTCAGTAGAAGTTACACGTTCTATTTTGAATATATCCTGATAATTAGAAAATATCTTGCTTACGTACAATGTATTAATTTTTCTCTTATGTTCATGGTTTTTGCTATCGTTCAAAAATATCTTTGCTTATTCCAGGATCATAATGTTATGCTCCTGTATTTTCTTTAGAATATTAATAGCTATGGTTTGGTTCAGTTCCATAAGCCACCCTGAATTATTTTAAATTTTTAGTATTGAGATAAGACCCAAGGTTTACTTCCATATGTGTATACCTGGTTGCTCCAACACCATTTGATGAATTGATTTTCCCTTCTCCATCAAAATGCCTTAGTGAGTATCTTGGAAATCAATTGATGATATACAAGTAGGTCTACTTCTGATTTTAAATCTGTTCCATTGAGCAATCTGTCTATATTATGCTAATAAAACACTGTTTCAATTGCTCTGTCTTAACAGTAACATGTAAGCTAAATTTAAATCTGCCAACATTGCTCTTGCTTCTTCAGCTTATTTTGGCCTTTGTAGATTCTTTGCATTTCTATATAAAATTTAGAATCAGCTTATTAACTTTGACCAGAAAAAAAAAAAAGCCTACTGGAATTTTTTTAATAGATTTTGTTAAAGCTACAGATCATTTTGTGGAGGATAGATACCTTAACAATATTTATACTTGCAATTCATAAATGTAGTATACTTCTGTATTTATTTATATAGTTTAAAATATTTCTCATTCATGGTTTTTGTCAGTTCAGCATGGAAGTCTTATATTTCTTTTATTAGATTCCCCCAAATTTTGATAATTTGGATGCATTTGTAAATAACATTTAAAAAACTTCATGTCCAAGTGTTTGCTTTTTGATATAGTAATACAATTAATTTGTAAATAATAACATTGTATTCCTAAGCTTTGCTGAACCCATTTACTAGTTTCAGATTTTTTGTTAAGACATGGAATAACCCATTTATTAGTTTTAGATTTTTTGTAAAGACATGGAATAACCCATTTATTAGTTTTAGATTTTTTGTAAAGACATGGGGTTTTAAACAGACACACAAACATATGTACAACATACACATATATGAATATATACATAAAAATAAAATGAAATTGCATTTTAAGTTCTCCTATTCCTTTCTCATCTTTATACTTTTCATTTATTTGTCTTTTGATGTACTAGATAAGACTTTCCATAAAGTACAAATATTGTTGTCACTAATCAGAAGGGTGAAGGACTCAATATGTTCCAATAAATTATGATGATAGCTGTAAATATTTGTAGAAGTTTTATGTCATATTGAGGGTATCTGATAAAAATCATATATATATACATATGATATATCTTCTTATATATGTATGTAAGATATATTTTCCTTTGTGTACATTATCTTTTACATGATTATGAACTATAGCTTCATATTTGCATGCATTCTTATATATGTTTGCTGAGGATATATATGTGTGTGTGTGTGTGTGTGTGTCTGTGTGTATTCTTAGCAAACTTCCTCAATATATATTTGTATATATAAATATCTGAATGTCCAATCCTGTGAAAACTGTTGGCCATTTTCTCTTGAAATATTTCTTCAGGTCCATTACTATTTAATCTCTTGGCATTTTCTGTGACTCTAATTACACATACATTAAACATGTGATATTGTCCTCTAGATCTCAGACCCACCTTATTTTTATGTGTCTGTGTTTCAGTTTGGTTAATTTTTAGTGACTCATTTTCAAGTTCATTGCCTTTTTTTAATGTTTATTTACTTCTAAGGGGGTGGGGAGGGGCAGAGAGAGAGGCAGCAGACACAGAATCTGAAGCAGGCTCCAGGCTCCAAGCTCTCTGCACAGAGCCCAAAGCAGGGCTTGACCCCACAAGCTGTGCGATCATGACTTGATCCAGTCAGACACTTAAGCGACTGAGCCACCCAAGCACCCATCAAGTTCATTGCCTTTTTTATTCCTGTTGTACCCAATCTCCTATTAGTCCATCAGATGAATTCATCCTTAAATATTTTATTTCTTTTTCTAATTTGATTTTCTACTGAGGATGTCCTATATTTTTATACATGTTGCATAAATTGTTTACTAGGTTTTTAAATGTATTATATAAGTTTCCTAAAAAGTTCCTCCCCGTCTATTCCAATTTCTGCATGCTGGCTTCTATTATTATTTAATCTCTTGGTCATGGTCCATTTTTCTACTTCTCCACATACTTCGTGCTTATAAAAAACCATAGAGACTGAAGTAGAAAATATTTACACTTTCATTTCTTTCTCTGTCAGCCTGTCTGTGTGGAAGAATAAGTCAATTTAATTTATAGCTGAGTTAGTGTTTGTTTGCTTTCTGTATTTATTTTGATTCAGTTAATCAGTGGCTTCAAATGTTTTGAGAAGGAATCAAAACTTTCTTTTAGGCGAAGATTGGAATCTGAGTCATGGCAATACTACAGTGATCCCTCTTTTCTTTACAACCCAGTCACCACCCTCCGGAGCTGCTCAGGTATTTTCTTCATGTACTTCAGGAAAGCTCTCTTAATCTTCTTGCCTTTCCACAGCCTTTACTGGGTGCTGCATTCAGGTGCTGAAGACTTTATGTGCTTACCGAGATTTGTCTCAGCTAGCTTGGTCTTTATACTGCCTTCTTCTCACCTTTGCTCTGAGCTCAGGAAAGGCCCTATGTTCCCTTCGAGCATCTCTCTCAGCTGTATTTTTGTAGCCAGTCACTTTTACACAGTTGCCATGAACTTAGAAAAGGCCATTGCAATTTATTTCAATTTTCCTATACTAGTCTCAGCCTTCGAAGAGCAATTGCTGCCCATTCATTAAAGACTCTTGTGTATCTTGAGAAGTTTCTGTTAGCTCTTCTGACCTGCACTCAGTGAAGGTGCCTCAGGACATAAATGGCAAGTGAATTCCTGTGATTGAGATTCTTTAAATTTCTGACCTGTGAGGCCAGCCCTGACATGGCCATTAAACATTTGTTGAAAGTTACACTGGTTGCTCTTTACCATAATCTATACAGTTGACTTCCCAAACACTTAACTACTGTTTGACTAGAAACCTTACACATAACATAAAAAGTTGATCGTCAGATAATTTGTAGGTTGTATGTATTATATACTATATTCTTACAATAAAGTAAGCTACAGAAAATAAGATGTTAATAAAACAATAAGAAATAAGTATTTACACTTTATTATAATGAAAAAATCCACATATAAGTGGACACACACAGTTCAAACTCGTATTGCTCAAGGGTCTGCTGTATGCTGTCGGTTTCTTTTTGCACCATGCTCACAACTGTTAACAGCCATAGACTTCTTTCCTGGAATTTATTTCATACTTTTTTTGCATACTCTGGTCTGGTTTTTCTTTTTTCCTAAATGGGTAGCTTGTGTTCATTGTTAGCGGTGGCAATGGTGATGTTTTGTAAATTTCTATATTCTAATCAGAATGGAAAGCCAAAGTTTTATACTCTGCAATTTTTGCTTTATGGACTAAGTGCATGAAAGAGGCTAATATTATTATTTTATAAGCTCATCTACTATTAAACTGAATTTTAAAAAAATATTCTCACTTTTATGATGCCTGATGAAATTATATATGCTGATCCTGGCATATAGAAAATGAGAACAATCTTGAACACATTTCTGATTAGAGAAATATAAAATTAACAATTTAATTTATTTGAGCTGTAATTAGTAATCTGTTGCTGGCCCTTTTCCCATTTTAAATTCAGTGGCTCTTAACTTAATAAAATGAAAACTTGGTCTTTTTATCTGTCAATGGGGCTTTTCTATTACAGTCTATCAATGAAACACTACTACTGTCCTTCTACATGTAATGACTTTCTCTACTTTTACTTTTAAAATATCAATTGATGAGAATGTCCTACCATAGCATTTCATTAAAACTAATCATTAGAGGAAAAGAATCTCCCAAATATGTATTACTAGAGATACTGGAGGGTTTTTTTTTTAATATGGTGAAGAAGTAGTGCATTTTCATATCAGTAGACTAGTAAAATTATGACCTCTTTTCAATTCCAGTCCTTACATTTTTTTACAAAGCAAAGTAAAAGCTTTATTGCAAATATACACCTAAAATCCACTAAAAGTCATTAGACTTTGCCCTCACACTGGTTTTGCTGATAGAATTATGATCTTACCCTTATAATCTTCCTCTATTAGATAGGAAAAATATTGTTTTAATATTTTCCGGTTACATTAATGTAATAAATATTCTTGCCATGATTAATGGGAGCCATCGATTTTACATTCATACTCAAAATGATTTTAATTAAATGATGAGTGCCACTTTCTTAGACTGCCTTTGCTAAAAGGATTTTAAGTAATCTATTTTTATTTATAGTATATATTTCATTTATAATATATAATTCATGCAAAATAACAAGTTAGGCACATTACATGGTAACATAAATAATATTTTTGTAAAAGATAGCTATATTTTCTAAAATATTTTATCTATTCTCTTAAAGTTTGACTTAATACACATTAACTGAATTTTCATATCTACTTTTTCATTCTATCTATTGCAAGATCATATGTAGTATAATCTCATAAAACTCTATAGTGTACTTTTGAATGAATGAGAGTAAAAAGGCAAATTACATCTTCATTATGACTTAAATAATTCTAGACAGACATACCGCCTGAAAAGTTTTTATTTTTCCCAGAATGCCTGTACAATACTTTTAGAACCATTGAGTCATTGAGTAAAACATTAAAATATAATTGGGTAAGTACCTAACAGTTTGAAGATAATTCTTCCAATAAATCTAAATGATTGATACTTCTATGTTTGTCTCTTATGGATTTAAAAGTTCCCCAAAGGACTAGCACCATAATAGTTCTCAAATCTCTTTGGCAAAGGTACTTTGAATCATATAATGTGATGTCTATAAACCAATTTTGTTGTCTACTTTTTTCTATTAATTTAATATTTATATGGTTAGAACCAAAACGATGCATTGTAGCATTTTTTTACACTAAATAAATGTACAGATTGCATTTGGGTTAAGAATAAAGTTATGTGAAATTTTTGCTTGATTCCATCCTGGTGCATAACAGATATTTAGTCAATGTTTGAGTTAAGTTAAACATCTATCAATTAAGGACTTACTTACTTGGTGTGGTAGGCAGCTTCTGATATAGCTCCCAATGACGTGCCCCTCCCAATATTTATGTCTTTGTCTTCTTCCTCTAAGTATGGGCTGGACTTAACGATTTGCTTCTAACCAGCAGAATAATACAAAATAAATGATGAGATATCACTTCTGTGATTAGGCCACAAACGACTGTGACTTTCTTGCTAGCCGTCTCTTCCTCTCTCTCTTGCTGTCACTGTCTTGGGCCTCTTCATTGCTTTGTCAGATGAAGCAAGTTGTCATGTTGTCAGATGCTCTGTAGAGAGGCCCACATGGCTGGGAACACAGGGCCAGACAACAGCTCAAAAGCATCTGAGACCTCATTCCAACTACCCACAAGAAATTGAATCCAGATAACAAATGCATGAGTCTAGTCTTCCCCAGTCAAATCTAGAGTTGATTTCCCTCTGTGAGTGACCCAGAGTCAGAAGATTCAGCTAAGCCATAGTCTGGTTTCCAACCCATAAACACCTGTGGAATAATAATACCTGCTGTTAATTTGAGACACTTGGTTTTGTGAAAATTTGTTATGTTATGCAATAATAAATAATTAAAACAGTAAATACTGTGATGGGGATAAAAATGAATGGGGGAGGAACATTGCCCTAACACGCTAATACATTTGAGAAGATAATTCACAATAAAGTTCTTTGTAGTTTTCGAAAGAACCAACACAATTCTAAATGCCAAATTGACAAAAACTCCTATTAATCAAGTTATTTTAAAATTAAATATTTTACATCATTTTGTTTTTATGTTAAACTTTTAAACTTAGGACATTTTTTACAAATAAGTGTATCCTAATATAATATGCTGTTATACTTTAAAGCTTTTGTCATCATTTTATTATAATCTTCAACAATATCTGTTTATCTCCCATCCTGATCCCTATATCTATATCACCTATCTATCTATCTAAATATAAATGGAAAATACTTTTTATTTCCTTTGATCAACAATGTTTCAGCATTTTAAAAGCATCTGGAATTGGGCAGCATTAAAATTGTAATTAGTATGCAACAAACATTACATTTTTGATGAATAATTATTGAATATAAATAATTATGAAACTGCACATTATTGAAGGAAATAGAGATCATTTTCATATTACTCTGCATATATAGTTGTTATTTATTATTGCCTGCAAGAATAAGACAAGATTCAGCATCATAAGCTGTTTTCATTTCCATAGTGTAATTGTTAAGAAATCTGGCTGAAGAGAAAAAGTAGAAAGAACTGAAAAGGTTTGTTTTGACAGTATCACTCAATTATTTGATTTCTTCCTATGTTATATGCCCCAAATTTCATACATCTTACTTGAATATTTTTTAATTCAAATAATTAGAAAACACAGAACTATCCAGCTATGATTATTTATTTTCTCAATCCCAACACTGATATTTCAGATTGTACTTTTAGTCACTAAAATATAAGCTACATGAGGCAAGAGGATTTTTTTCTGTTTTGTTCACTTATGAATCTCAATAGTACTGGCAACATAGTAAGATTCAGGACAGATGAAAAGTAGTGGCTCAGGTCATGATCTTGCAGTCTGTGAGTTTGAGCCCCACGTCAGGCTCAGTGCTGACAGCTCGGAGCCTGGAGCCTGTTTCAGATTCTGTGTCTCCCTCTCTCTCTGCCCCTCCCCTGCTCCCGTACCATATCTTTCTCAAAAATAAATAATCATTAAAAAAAATTTAAGGACATAGGTTACCTCTTTTCCTTCCTCCCTCCCTCCCTTCCTCTTTTCATCTCTTTTTCTTCTTTCTTTCTTTCTTTTTCTTTCTTTCTTTCTTTCTCTTTCTTTCTTTCTTTCTTTCTTTCTTTCTTTCTTTCTTTCTTTCTTTCTTTCTTTCTTTCTTTCTTTCTTCTTTCTTCCAGTAAAAATAGAAGAAATTAAGTATGGAGGGAAGGACTTTGCATTGTATCTAATGATGGGCCTTTTCTTAGGTGACTTCTTTTATGAATTAGTACACATTGAAACGATTTGAAGATTGGCAAAATTAAAATGGTTGTGCATCCTGTGTCCCCCAGGGCATGGATAGTCTTGCATGAAGGCTAAGATTTCCTTATGCCTTTTTCTTTCTTACCATGCTAAACACAATTCACTGTTGAAATAATTCTGAGACCTATAAAAGGCTCTGTACTTTGTCAAACCCACATCCTGAGGTCTTTTAGATCATTGATTTAAGCCTCAAACTTCAAACAGAATTTCAGTCCTCATGAATGTGTATCTCTTCTTGTACTTAGAGTGTTAAGATAATAACTATATGCTATTAATTCAATCGGACAAGCTGGAAATCTCGAAGTCATCTTAAAACTATAATTCTATA